TTTAACCTTTTCTTTTCCAACCTTAGTCGCTTCTCATTATTTATTATTTCTTATGACTTCAGTTTTCTCATCTCATCACTATTAATAACCATGTAATTTGCTTTGTATACCAAAATATTCAACCATTGATTCTGTTTTCATACTAAGTATTAGCTATGTTGATAAAATTATAATTATTTCTTTAAATAGCACAAAAGTGTGTTACATTAAAAATGTTGATTTGAACATTAATAATGATAAATATAAATGATAATGCTCTTCTGATCTGTTTTGCTTCCTTTTCAGATGTCTGAGGAAAATAGCAGAAAATGTAACTGATTTCTGACCACTAGGTGGGGAAACAACACAGTTTAAAATATAATATAACTTTGGCTTCAGCTACTTAATTTTTAAAGATATTTATTATTTCTAATTTTTACCCACCTCCGATCTTTTCCATTTTTAAGGCATCATGACCTGAATGATATTATTACAAGTGACTTCTGATGAGTAGGCAGGCGGTAAAGGTCATCCTATCTCTTCAAATTCCTTTCTTGATCCTAATGAAAGTTTTTTTTTCCTTGCCTTAAGCAATACAGACTCTACACTTTGGGGAGAACTGTAAACCTTATTAGTCCTTTATTCTTTGGGGAAGACAGTCCCTCACCTGAGCACTAGCTCCCTGTTTCTCCAGTCCTTGTTTCCAGGAATTCTTCCCTCTCTGTCATTATCATTTCCCCTTCGTTACTGGATCTTTCCCATCAGCACACAAACATACCGTTATTTCTTCCATCTTAAAAAAGAAAATCTTGATTCCATTTTCTCTTCCAGTTCCTGCTCCATTTTTTTGTTGCCTTTTCTCCTTTAAAGCACCATCTGTATCTGTGTGTTCCTTTCATGTTCCTGTCCTCTCCTTTCATGCTTTTTTAAAGCGATTTCAACCAGGCTTGTATCTCCATTACTCGAAAAATTTCATCCACACTGACTTCCATAGCGCTGGCTTACTTGGCCTTCACCAGCTTCTGACACAATCTCTGCTTCTGCATTAGGAATATTATCTGGCTTCCAGGAAAGCATGCTCTTGGTTTTTTCCTACTTTATTGGTTGTTCTTTTTCATTCTCCTTTTCTAATTTTCCTTCTCTCGGGCCTAGTGGCATACCCCAGTGCTTGGTTCTTCTCTCTAGTTGTACTCATTTCCTTGGTGATCTTAACAGTCTTATGACTTTAAATGTGGAATATATACTGATGATTCTCAGATTTATATTTTTAAACCAGAACTCTCTCCCAAACTGTTTACTTCTTATACCCAATTGCCTCCTCCACATCTCTGCTTGGATATTTAAGAGACACCTCAGGCTTCACATAGCCATACCTTCCTGATCTTCCCCACCCCCAAACTTGCTCGCCTTCAGCCTCTCCTATTTCAATTCATTGAAACATCATCCTTACAATTGCTCAGGCCAAAACCCTTGGCATCTTTGACTCTTTTTCTTTCATATCCCAAATCCAAATTCTACTGTCTCTACCTTCAAAACATATCCAGAATTTGGACACTTCTTACCACCTCGCTACCATCATGCTGGTTAGAGCCACCTCTATATTTTGCCTGCATTTCCACAATATCTGACTACTGGTTTCCCTGCTTCAATATATGCCTCTTTTCAGATAGATGTTAAGGTGATCTTTATAAAACATAAGTCAGAAAACATCAGTGCTCTGTTTAACCTTTCACTGGTTCCCATTTCACTTAGAATAAGAGCCACAGTCTCTATCATGACCCTCAAGGCTCTACGTGAGCTGAATCTTTTCTTACTCCTCTGTCCTTTGCTCCCTCTACTCTAGCCCCAGTTACCTCCTTCCAGTCTTCGAACATTCTAGGCAGGGATCTTTGTTTTATTCACTGATATTTCCTGAACTCCTATTACAAAGGCAGAAAACAATGGCTCAAAAATAATTATTAAGTGTATGTAAAATAACCTATTAGATCTTGACCTGAGAGTGGCCTTTGATTGCAGAGGAAAGGAATGAATGACACTTGCAGGCTGGTAGAGGGTAGAAAACACCCAGGTGTGTGTTTTGAAGGATGGTAGAGTAAGGAAAAGCACAGAAACACCCATATATTACAGTTTTACCTAAAGATCATTCCCTAAATTTCCCTTTCACATGAAATATAAATTTTTGAGCCAGACTATCAGGACCCATTTTGCATTCACTTCCTCTTTGTGTCTTATCTAGCTTCCTCTAATTGGGGGAAAGTTTTTAACCTAGGTATTTCTTCATTTTGGAATTCACTTGAGCTCTCTGATGGGACCTGAAAGTTTCCACTATATACCACATTTTTGGTTTGGGGAAAATAAAAAAGTATCTTATAGATGTCCCTTAGCTTTCATTCCTTTCTTCCCTCTATCTGGCAATTAACTTTCAGATCTCCAATTATAGTTTATCTAGGCAATAGAACATCAAAGACTCCTGTTTCTCTCCATCTTTCTTCTGAGAGTATGTATTCTGTGGAGTAACTATTAGATGAATCAGACTTTCTAATTAGGAATTCTTAACAAGATGGAAATAGAAATGAGGTAAAGTTTATTACAATTGGTGGGTTTTGCGAACATATGATGAAAACGAAATTACAAGTAAGAATTTGAGTGTGACTAGTCAGCAGGCCCTCTTCAACTTTGCAAAAATTCCCCACAAAGCTAGGAAATTGAGCAGACTTCTTATGAAGCAGTAGCACAGGACTGTTTTTGAAATCTTTTCTTCCTTCTACAACTTTTTACTCCCCACCTTATCGTAATGGATTCTAGGCAGTAGGTTTGTGGAAAAGAGCTAACATAGCAGGTCTGAAACTGCTATTTTTAGAAGAATCTGCTACCAAGGTTTGCCCTTGGCTTTTATCTGGGAAAACAGCTTTTAAAAAATTCTCTACACTGATATGAAAAGTTGCCTAACTGATAAGAGTGCTTTACTGTATAAACAATGTGACTTACGATGAACATCTGCTTTCCTTCTAAAAGACTGGTATTTTGGTAGTTGCTAGGTAGAAGGTGCCAATGTGACTAACTCTCAAGAAAAACCCATCTCTAACAGGCTTCCTGGGGAAGCAACATTACACATGCATTGTATTTCCAGGGCTAAAGAAAGGAGCACTCTTGGTGTGTCTGCTCCCAGCCTTAGAAAGAGAGTGTTACTGTGATAAACCTCAGGCGTCAGTATTACTATATAGTGAGTAGTCCTGTAGTCCTCTTAGTGAATCATCAAACTGGTTGTCTTGGGGATT